CTGCCTGTCTGTCTGTCTGTCTGTCTGTCTCTGTGTGTGTCTGTGTGTGTGTGTGTCTGTCTGTCTGTCTGTCTGTCTGTCTGTCTGTCTGTCTGTCTGTCTGTGTGTGTGTGTGTGTCTCTGCGTGTGTGTGTGTATCTGTCTGTGTCTGTGTGTGTGTGTGTCTCTGCGTGTGTGTGTGTGTGTGTGTATCTCTGTCTCTGTCTCTGTCTGTGTGTGTGTGTGTGTGGGTGGGTGTGTGGGTGGGTGTGTGCGTGTGTCTGTGTGTGTGTGTGTGTGCGTGTGTGCGTGTGTGCGTGTGTGCGTGTGTGCGTGTGTGCGTGTGTCTGTGTGTCTGTGTGTCTGTGTGTGTGTGTGTCGATGGCTGTGTCTGTGTCAATGTCAGTGTCCGTGTCTGTGTCTGTGTCTGTCCGTCTGTCTGTCCGTCTGTCTGTCTCTGCGCTGTCGCCTGTGGGCCCGGGCGGTCTCGCAGTTCGGTCTCGTGGAGAGCAACGTCCAAATGCCATTCGGGGAAGTAGTGGTGCAGCGCTTTCTGAATACGGTCGTGAGGCCTCAACTTTCCACAGATCTGCACCAGCTACTCGAGCATGACAAAGGCTTGGCTCAATGCTCGTAGGTCAGCGAAGCGAACAAGCCGAAGTCCTGAGTACTCAGTTTAGGTGTCAGTGCAGTGAGAAGACGATCCTCTGCAGCTTGCAGTGTTCCTACCACACGGATGTGTGCTGCAGGGCCCCCGACACCAAACTTCAAGTCTCGGCCGTCCGGCCTGGGGAATTCCATCTGGCACCTGTGATCTCGTTGCTCGTCTCCACGTACCAGGGAAAGGAGCAGATGCAGTACGACAGGGACACCCAGCGCGCAGAGAACGATCTAGGTGTACTTCCAGTGCAGGGTTGGATGGCAGGACGGTTGGACTCCAAGTATGTTCTTCGTGCTAGTGATGGCGAAGGTCAGGCAAGCGGCAGAGGCGTGTACGCTTGATTGATTACGGGGCCTCAGCTGCAAGATTCCAGGCCTCTCGACTTGACCTGAGACACCACCGAGCAGCTTGACTCAAAAGCTGCCAGGTTTCGAGGAATGATCTGCTCGTACCTGCAGTTCGACATATCCGCACAGAACCTCGGAATGAAGGTGCACAAGGAGCCCGAAGGGTGCGTACGAGCAGTCGAAATTGCGAGCTGGCTGCCGAAAAGAGGCACCTTTCCCTACGAGCATACGACATTACGATGTGTCTCACTGTGCAGAACAGCAGCGCACTCCAATTGTTCTTCTGGAAGGAAGTCACGAAGGCCCAACAGACCTGCGGTGATTTTCAACCAGCCGACCAGCCGTACTGTTATGATAACGCTTCTCAAGTCCCTAGACAGACCCCACATCGACTCCGACCTACAGGTTTACCCTGCACACCTCAGGACAGCATCAACTTGGCACTGATCTTACGGACTACATAAATCAACGGCCACAGGACCAACGTACGAGATCCGACCAAACAAAGTTGTTGGAGCAATCATATGCAACATTGCGCATATGCAATTTAAGAAAACAGTTACAGTGCCGTGGCTGCTTTGAGCTACGCGGGCATGAAGCGATCTAATGCCAGCTATGGGAGTCATCCACATGGTACATCTGTCGCTGTTTGGCACCGCCACACAGCGCAAGGTGCAACCCAACCATCATCTCGTCCAAGCAGCGATGGCAATGACCACAAACTTGGCTGAAATGCGGCAAATCGTTGTCGGGAGGACGCAGAAGTGTACACTTCGGTAACCGAATGTGCATGTTCAGGACTGGGCTGCATACCATGAGAGCACTGAGCGAGAACCCAAGCTTTGGCGCTTGAGTTCTGGCTTCGCCATATCAACTGCTCTTGGCACCCCCTTCAACCGCGTGCTCGATCACATGACAAGCATCGTTGCTTCAGCACCTGCACAAAGTCTGGCTCCTGATTTGGCTAAATGCCTCGTTCTAACCTGCAGGCCCCCAGGACACGGAACGCGAAAACCGCCGAGCCGCATGGACCACTCCAAGAGCCATCAAGGAGACCTTCGCTTTGGGCGGGAAAGCGGCTCTGGGACCGGCTTGAGTGGGACAGGGGGAAGCACTTACCAGCAGGACGATGCAATGCCCATGCTCAGGAACCTCCGAAAATGGCACTGTTGCGGACAGCTAGAACCATATTACCACCATCACACTGGGACTTCATCGATATCATCAACCATAGCATCGCCTCACATGCTCCCTGCAAGAAGCACCGGGGCAGCTACGACGCGAATCCGATCCCCTGCTCGCACTTCCCGTTGAAAGCCAAACCTCAATGGAACAGCTCAGTATTGTCAAGTCGGCATCGTACGTTGTGCCTGGCATGCTGGCATCGATGCACCTGCCACCATGCTACTACATCTCGCAACTGGGACAAACTGATGCTGACGAGACTCTGCCGCATAGCCTTTGCTGTCTTCAGAGTTCAGCACATCATGTGTCAGGAAATCCATAACCACAGCAAGCAAAACGTGCACCACATCCAGGTGCTGCCAGGAAGCACAAAGAAGAAAGATCAGAGATGCATCCAGGAGCGGTCTGTCTGCTGTCCTGTGATGCTGGTGTTTGTGAAACGCTAAAAGCTTAAATCTCCACATGTCTGCTCAGTTTCCCAGTCCGCCCGCCTCATGACATAACGATCTGAGGAACGAGCTGCATTGCAAATCTTTTTCAAAGGAATGGTCGGAGCTGCTTCAAACTGGCTAAAGGTGTGAACGACAAATGGTTCCACACTCGCCCCTCACGTCGCAGAGGATTTGATGTGCAGTGAAGTCCAGAGAACATCCGGCCAAGGCTCTGAATGACAAGGCACTGAAGCAGGATGCTTTCGAAGAATGCTTCCTCGGCGAAAATTTCACTGGCACAGGCACCGAACCATACTCTCCGGCTGCTTCGCACTCACTTCGAGGCTTTGCAACCAAGACTTCACTGCTGTACAGGCGCGCAGATGGCTGCTGCCCAGCCAAAGTTTCCCTCAAAGTACATGAACAGCAGGCGCAGGAAGAGGAAGAAGAGTATAGCCAGGCCTTTGGCGAGGCTCGTGAACTCACAACAACACAAGGACCTGGAGCTCTCGACATAAGCAGCTAAGTCATGCGGACATGCCGAGGCCGACGCAAGAAAGCGAGAGCCATTTTAGTCTGTAGCCTCCGAAAACCTAAGCCACAAAGATGCCCAAGAGCACTCACTTGCTAAGTCCACACATCTAGCTGATCTAGCTTCACACTTTTCTGATCTCTCCTGCGCTCTCCTGCTCATGATTCGCTTCACATGCTTCCATGCCACCGCACCAAGCATGATCAAGGTGATTGCGAAGGGATGGCGCTGACGCTTCTGCGCACTGTGGTTGAGTCTGCACCACTTCTCGCCTCCACAAACTTGCAACAAACGGTGTCTTTTATGCACAAGTCGGCTTGGAACTACTTCACTTCGATCAGCTGCTTTGAGACTCAGCTCTACGCTGATCACATGCGCTACAGCGGTATGATGACTTGAAGCAGCCTCCCTACCGGTCCTTTGTCGCGTAGCAAACAAGCCTGCACATTCCGCTCTATGCACTCAGCAATGATCTGCTCGTTTTGCACACTCCCGGCCCCATCGCTGAAGAACATCTGGACTGTTGAAGGCATTGTTCAGCCATCCAGGTGGCTGCAGTGGCTGGATGCGGTCAGCGTAATCTCGGCTTCTTATTGCTCAGCGCACTCAAGAGCTTCAGACATGCGTGTGTCGATTGAACCTTCTTGATTCTTACGATCTCAACGTCGCGGGGTATTCCCATGGTCTCGAAAAGGACTTCTGCGTTGTGATGTGTTGTCATGCTTTGCAGCTGCCCCAAGAAATCGTCGCCGAGCTCCCAAAACATGATCTGCCAGCTGCGTGCGGGTGACTGGAAGCAGTGATGACCTGGGTGCAACGGGTGCTGTCAGTATATGTCAGTATTCGGAGGGTGAGGGACCCTTCCCAACTTGCATCGCTATGCAGGCCAATGACGGAAAGCGACGGCCCGGACACAACAGCACTTTACCCCCTGGTGTCGCCTCAGGCTATGCATAGCATGAATGCCTGAGCCCATCGCTATCCAGCTCATCACCATTGCGCTTCCACCTCCAATAACAAAATGCACTGAATGCTGTGGCAACTTGCCGACATCTCCGCCCTTGGGCTCTGTCCCTGTGCGCGCAAACGGTCGGCAGAGACGTGTGAAACTTCAAGAGAACGAACAGCACGGTCTACACAAGCACTTGGTGTCAAGAACGAACCATGTTCAGGCGAGTGTGCATTTGGTTTCAAGGCCTTCATCTTGCTTTCAGCCCCGCGAAACTATCAGGCACTCAAGACTTGCGACAGCAGATGGCCGGAGATGGCTAGAATCTCAGATTGTCACGAATGCCACGTCGGAAAGTACCCATAGAGCTACATCAGAGGTATATGACATCTTGTATATCAGTACGCATGCCTACGAGGCCAAAACAGACATAGGTAACATCATGGCCCATGCCCTAAACATGAACGACCTCTCACCATTCTCTCGGCTCCTGCAGCCCTCCTCTGGCCTAGGAGGGCCAGGAAGCTTCGCTGGTCAACGAGGCCAAAGACCTGCAGAGTTCAGGAGAAATGCAGGGTTTGTGGGGGCACCTAGGGGATTTCACACCGGCGACCTTGCACTTCACGGATTGAAGCAGTTGCGTGCACACAGTGCTCGCGTGATAAAGCAAACTGGAAAGCAGCTGAGCCCGCGACGAAGGTACAAGCACAAATGATGACTGGAAAAAGATATTCTCCCCTGGCAAGACAGCAAATTGGACATGCTAGTGCGTGGCACTGAAACCGTACTATCAAGTAGCCATGGGCTGCAACACTCAAGAAAGCCCAAGCGAAAAACTCAGGGCTTGCCGGTGTGTTCACAGCGAGTGTGGCAGGATTTGGATGCCAAGGTGCCAGTGGAAGAGGGTGCATAGCGTGACACAAACACTTCCTTGCGATGCGGCAGATTCCCAAAAGGAGGTCTGGCTAATCACGAAGAATCCTGATGGAAGCACTGCTCACTGCATCTGTCAGGGAAAGCAGCACCTTGCAGCTCACCAGGATTCTGACAAAGCAGGTCGCCCAAACAGTCTAAGTTCAATCAAGCATCTGTGCTCCTGCTCGTGGCTGTCAAACTGGTTCTCGTCATGCATCACCCAGATACTGTGAGTCATATGCATGATGCCTGAGGAGCTGTTGGTGAATCTTAAGCTCCGACCCGCTACACACTTCGATGACCCGCCGCTCCCGAAAGTCACTCACGGGATCAAAGGGGTGACTGAAGCGGAGAGGGTGGCACTGTCCCGCTAGCTGCATAAAAGGCTGTGAGTAGGAAGTAGGAGGCATGCTACATCCAGCCACTGCTGCCCAGGCCTTTCTTTATCTCGCTAGCTTCCAGAATTTCACAAGTGTTTGGCCGGTGGAGTGATTTTCTGGATTCTTGCTGCTCTCGTGACTCGGTTCGTCTGGCTTCGGCAAGCAGCTAATGAGTGACCATTACATCTTCCCTGTACCATGTTCTCAGTCTTAGTCTTATTCGGCTCGCCTCCTGGTTGCTGCGTGCGACGTTACTGCTGGTGCTCTTGACATATTGCGCTTCACTGCGTAGCATCCTATGACAACTGCCAAAGCTTCTCTGATGTCCGCCGGGGTCACTGGAGCGGCCGTGCCGGAAGCCGTTGAAGGCGCGAGCTTGCTGCCAAGCGCGGCAGAAGTACTTGACCTGAGACTCGTCCCAACCAACGTTTATGCAAGATGCTGAGCACGATCCTGCATGCTGACCGGACACCTTCAGCGAAACCTCGCCAATCCACCACAACGAGTAGAAGACGAAGATGTGGATACATCCCGTCAGGAGACATACCTGCAACAGCATGACCATCGTAGCTTCTGCGTCACCCATACCACAACCTCTGACAAAGCCGTCTGATGTGGAGCAACCCCGTATTCTGGTTCTGAGACCTCAAGCTTTACCAGCAGGGGCTTTCTAGCAACTAAATCTCGATATGGGAAGCCGGATCCTCTCATCTAAGCCTTAGAACAGAGTGAGGTATGTAGCAGGTGCAGCTCTGTGTCTCAAGCCTGTTTCAGCGCTGCAGTCTCTTTGCGAAGCACGGCAGATCAGAGTGACTTAGCCAAGGGTGGGGCTGTTGCGGCCTGGGCTGTGCCTTCTCTCGGAGCCCTGGCCTCAGCCCAGAGGATCCAGGCAGAATGGCTGCCGATCCGTTGGGCCATGATCAGGAAGACCAGGGGGACCAGGTCCATGGAGAGATGTACTTAGAAAAAAACGCGCCCCGTTTTTGGGGGAGTGGGAGTGGGGCGACAGGGTGGCCTCAAAAGGAGTTTTTCTACTTTCGCTCAACCCTTTCCCGAGCAACCTGTCACCTCTTCAGGATTGCCCACGTCTCTCACTACAACTTGGCAGCTTAGCATGGGGCGAAAAGGCCAAGTTTCGCAGCATCTGGAAAAAGATGTCCAACCAGGTTTGGTGCTTCGTGAGCCTTGACCATGAGCATATGTAGAACCTGGCGGAGCACGCGCAGGTGTTCTGTAGTTGGCTGTTCCTCCTTCTCTGAGTACCCGGCTCGCCGGCTTCTAGCTCACCCCACGCATCACCAACTAGAAGGCGCCGGTATGCCTGACAGACGGAGAGAGAGAGAGAGAGGGAGGGGGGGAGAGCGAGACAGAGAGAGTGGTCAGGTTGAAACGCTTTAGTTCGCCTAAGCTGAATTCTTGCCTCGAAGACATCTGGCCGCCATGCATCCTTACGTCGTGAAGGTGCCATGATGTACGCAGCACTTGTCTGCAAGCTGTTCGGCAATGATCTTATTCCAGGCGTCTCTGCAGAGAATGAACGCAAACCGAAGAACGTCGGTGGTCGCACTTTGCATGATGTAACACCTGCAGGCCATGGCAAGCTGAAAAAAGAAGTCAGAAGTTTGCTGGCACATAGAATGCTGCAAGATCACTGCTTAACTTCCGCGACATAGTGAATTCCGAAGGCAACCAAGAGCAACGGCAAGAAAGCCACAGTCAGCTAGAGTTGGATCTGGAGCCGAACCAGCCTAAAGAACGCGCCATAGAACAGAATGGTCAGATGGAATCGTCCTGCATTGAGCCATGTCGAGGGTCCGAGCTCGAGAAACTCAGGGGACTAGGCTCCCAATGAAGTGATTGAACGATTGCACAGTACTCAGTACACCCGCTTCCTGGCTACCTTTCGGTGCGCTGCATCATGCAAAGCTCCAACCCGCCCTACAGCGAGAGACCGATTCTGATAGACTTTTAGCATCATTGCTGAGAGTTGTGTTGTGACGAGGCACCAATTGTTTGCCTCCTTCAAGCTGTTCATTGCGGTACTCATGGGAAGCTGTAGCCTTTCCCACCCACCGAAGAAAATCCCAGCATGCTTTCCCACGTCTCTTCTATCCCGTCACGTCCCTAGAGAGCTGCTTAGACTGGGGGCATCATCGGAGTCTTCGGAGGCCTTCTGGAGAAGTTGCTGTCTCTTGGTCCAACTTTGTGTACCAGATAATGTAGCCTGGGCCAGGAACTAACCCGTGCGTCAGCGCTGAACACCGGCATTCAACATCTTCCTTGACACCTGGCACCATGTGACGAGGTGCTTCGGAGAACCACCGAGGCGCAGTTGCAGAAGATTAGGCATGCCGCGGCCAAAATCAAGAAACCTGGACAGGAATCCGGCAACATGTGCAGTAGAGCTGGGGGATGGGTCCCACATCGTGTCTTGGGTCGCAGCGGAGCGAAATCAGCTTTAATTCTCGGTCTACTTTGCAAGCTGCCGTCTCATTCTGGCCCAATGCGACCGGGTTGCAGTGCCACAGCGCAAGAGCCTGATAAGCTTCCGCTCGCCCGACGCACAACCCACAGCACGTTTCTTTAATCTGGAGTCTGACGAATTACGACTGGCCAATCCGACTACGGCAGAAATCGGGACGGGTCGACTCGGCTCAGAAAGGGACGACTCCCTCCCGTGAACCCGTGAAAGGCATGGCCGGGACCTGGGCAGTGCATGCCCAGCTCAGAGTCTCAGGAACAGACACTTGCAACAGCGCTCCTACTTTCCACGAGACAACGATGGACGAGTCTTAGTAGACTCACTTCTGGTCTTTGCACGCAGCGGTCTCCAACCTGGAAGCGTTCTCCAGAGCTGAGAACCCGAGCACTCTCCAAGGCAAAGGAATATTCTGAACAGATTGCAAGGCACCTTCGCACTTCTCTCAGAAAGAACTTCCTGAACTCATGGGCCAAAGTGGCGCCAGCTGCCCACGAGCGGCCGACGTTTGCCAGGCTCAGGTGCCTCCGGAACAGTCTAGACTGCACCAACACAAGATACGATGCTGTGATGGTGCATTCTACCTTCTATACTGCATTTAGGATGAAACCATCAAGTCCCGAACCTGAGCTTGAAACCACTTCTTAAATGCAAGCCAAACAATCTGTCGCTGGGAGAAGGGTGCGGGCGCAAACGCACCCATTGGAGACAGCAAACTTGCGCAGGTTTTGTCGGTGGGTGTGGAAAACATCGCAGAGGAAATGAGACAGGAAGACTGAGGCGAAACGTCAGTGACACCGACAGTCACCAGGAGAAGCCCCGTTCGGAGACTGGCCCACCATCTCAGTGCACATACCTCCCTGATAACTTATCCGAACAGAGACTGCGAGTTAGGCCATCTGCTGAGCATGCCAATGTCTTTCCCATGTTTTAGTGGGGGAACTAGAAGTTGCCCTCAGGGATGGCTTACCAGGTATATATAGTTAATATAGTACCACTGCAGGTCAAAGGCAGAAGTCCAAACTTGGCCTCCTCCCGCACGGAAAAGAGACCCCACCGGCAGTATGACCAGGCCAAGCGACCCCCATGTGGGCAAAATATATCCGATGAAGATCCCGCACTTTTGGCCGCAGCTGAGAGACCGCGGATGCCTTTTGTGAGCAGTACCACGCACTAACGTCATGAAAGCTTTCGGATCGGCAATGCAGAAAGTCCAAACAGAAGCCAGCTGTCTCGGGTCTGCGATATGCAATCGGGTTCTGAGGACTGATTTGGGCTCATGTGCAGCGAGATGCTCCTCATCTGTAAACTCGGTCTCGGATTCGCTGTCCACATCTAAACCTGAAGTTGCAACTGCACCACCTCGTGACTGTTACAGCCACAAGAACTTAGACAAGCATCTCCGGGAGTGCTCCAGGGCAGCGTTCGTAAATGTGCGCAGCATATGCCATGCGTCCGGCCAGCCGCTAAAGCTGGTAGAGGACTCTCTTTGGAGTCCAACAGAAAGCTGGCTTAGGGGATCGCAGAAGGTTGTCTGGTCTTCAGTGCCTGTAAGTCACGGAGCTGCTAGGGCGCACTCCTACCCGCAAAATGGCAATCATGGTATATTGGGTTGGTTGGCTTGTCTACAGCAGGCAGATGCCCTTGAACGAAATGGATGCAGAAATGTGGTTTTGCTGCATCAGAGGCAACTCTTGTAGCACTTCTATGGAACGGCTTGTTTTGGCAAACCGAGGTGCATTGCCAAAGCGCACTGTGCTGCAGCCTCCTTGCACACTTCAACTTGACGACGATCCAGATGACGGCGGCCAAAACTCCATGGGTCACCAGTTCACGGGCCGAGTCGAAGGTGTAGAAGAGACGCATGTCCCCCTTTGCAACCCACTTCACCCAAGATACGTGCTGACGGTCATCTCGTCCGGGAACAATCTCCAGTACTCGACATGAGTTCGATGAACCTTCATCGGAAGCAACGCTTGAGGCTGCGAGTCTACAAAGCAAGCACCGAGCCCTTCGCCCTAAACATCGTGTCCCAGTGCTCAACTCAAACCTGCTCTGTTTCTGCTCATTTTGGCACTAGCCAAGAACTTCGCGCCTCGGTGCTGAAGAGCTTGCTCCCATCCCCTTCCAGCAGATATTTCTTGTAGTCAGGGGCCCCTGGTGAGCGGATGTTGTCCCCGACGACCTGAAATCTGCCAAACAGCGAGTCAGGACTGCGGAGGTGAAAGATCCCCCCAAATGAGCCAAGAAACCACGCATCCTTTTGCGAGGACTCCGCTCGCCACGGCCAACTTCAGGTCTGGGAGGTACAGCTTCTTCACCTCATGAAGCTTGCCGCGGGAACTGAATGCAATTAAGCTTTGGAGAAAGAAAAAGCCTTCAGACGACAAAACGATGAAGACACAGCTGGTAATGAGTCAGGCTCGAGCTGCATGATCGACAAAGAGGAAATCAATTGTTCTTCCCTGTTTCTTCAGCTCTGCGAACACATTATACGAATAGTTGGTCTTCATTGTGATGCGGCTTCTCACTTGGGCTTGCTCGTAAAGGCTGCTCGACACCGTGTACGCAAAAATGTCGGGATCCACTGTAATGATCTCGGCACCTGTGTGGTTCAGCATGCGTACGAGGCGCAGCGTGCCGTAGCCTACAAATGTTCCCAGCTCTACCGCCAGCTTGAGTTCTCCAGGACCATTATCGAGCCTTTGCTGCACTGCAGAATCCAAAATCTTGCCCTTGACATCGCCGACATTGATGAGGAAGCCATGATTCCATCCGAAATCATCAACCAGGTCGATGGCTCGATCGAGGGCAGACACAGAGTCGAGAGAATCTGTGTGTGCGTGCATCCCTTGCACGACATGCTGCAGTGCGGCCAGCTGCGGATGTGCCGTCTCTGGCGTCAACACCATGAAGAAGAAAAAGATTCCAGCCAGATTTCGAGCAATCTGCACGTGTCTTCCAACAAAGTCTCCCAGCAGCAGCTTGGGATTGGGTGCGAAAACGATCCCGAGAAGTAGAACAGGAAAGGCCAGCAGGAAGAGCCGGCGAGTGAGCCCTTTCATAGCTCTGTTACACTTGCTAGCCTCTGCAACTGTTAGGTGCTCCTCTTTAGTCTTTCAGATGCTCCAAGGGTCTCGAGGCTCTGGAGCGTTGAAAAAGGATACTGATGGAAGCAACTTCAAGCTTTCTTAACTATGGCCTCTGGGCATGCGAGATTGCTGCATGATATGGGCCTGTGTCATTCGAATGGCTTGGTAACAAAACAGACTGGTTCAGTGAATGAGGGAGTTGTGGATGGTCTGCTCGCCTTGCGGCTACATCACGAGACATGTCTGGCATCAAGGTGCAAGAGAAAACCCTTCAGTCTCCAGAGTCTCCAGGCTTCTCGCAGGCCTAAGATGAGAGCTGCTGAGGGGTCTCTCCGACATCATGACCGAAGTGTTGCAGGCAAAGTGGTGAGGGTGTGGAAGTGTAGAATGCAGGATCTGACGGGCCC